CCGTAAAGGCACCCATTTAATTAAACCTAATAAGCAGCAATAATGTTAATTGGATGGATACAGTGAAATATGGGGAAAATTTCGAGCGCACGGCACTGGGACGCGACAAAAGGTGCCGACCAATCACGCGCGTTTCGCCAGAAGCCTCTGCCAGATGCCTCTACAACCAGCTCACCGATTGACGTTATTTTTATCAGTTGATTTGGTGTTGGAACGACAAGAAAGCTACGGTCAGTGAAAAAAATAGTTGAATATCGATTTTTTTCAACAAAATAAATAAATTTAAAGTCGCGAGAAGTCACCGGGAACATTGCGTCACTGGTTTTCGGCGGAAAAACTGTAAAATTTCACGTAAGTATTCACATTTCGGTTGAAATGTTTGGTCGGCCCCCCTGTCGCAAACGTCTCGATCGTGTTTTCTCATATCGCATGCATCGCTTTGATGATTTAGGGCAGATATTGATAAAACATAAATATTCGGGGCCTCCTTCGTGCCAGTTCCAATAGTTATAGGTATGGGCGAAATTGTGGCTCATGCCAAGATCCGGATTAAGAGTATTAGTGCCTACAAGAAAACAACACACCCCCAGCAAACGTACGATCTTCACAGGCCTGCCCCATCATTACCCAGCACTTTCTGTCCCTCCACCAACCATTATAAATCCAAACAGTTTACAAACGGGGTTTTTTTAATCATTTTTGCAGGTTAAATTCGCCCTCAAAAGTTGAGAAGATGACTGACAGGAAGGCTGTTATTAAGAATGCGGACATGTCCGAGGACATGCAGCAGGATGCAGTTGACTGTGCCACCCAGGCCATTGAAAAGTACAACATTGAAAAGGTAGGACTTCATCAACATCAACCAAAATTCAGCAGGAGCTCGGCTAAAACTAAACTGCAAATGCGTTTCGATAAGAACAAATACTGCTGACAACTTCTTCTAGTGCTATCTATGCTTTACCAAGCGCATCACTGTGATAAGATCAGTATTGACCATTTAGTGAGAAGGTCGGCAGTTGGATCAGACTCTCATAGTTTTTTTGTTGTAGGATATTGCTGCATACATTAAGAAGGAATTCGATAAGAAATACAATCCCACGTGGCACTGCATCGTAGGCCGAAACTTTGGCTCATATGTTACGCACGAAACTCGTCATTTTATTTACTTTTATCTTGGGCAGGTAAGTTCATGTTGATTTGTTTGATTTAGAAACAACTAACTTGACTGGTTTGCTTCATTTTCAGGTGGCAATACTTCTGTTTAAGAGTGGATAAGCTGGCAATAAGGAGCTAAATCTCATTCCTCCGCCCCCAAACCTTTTCCTAAGCAGTATTCTTCAAATCCTTTTCACCAAATGACTTATCCTTTCTAAATTTATAATATCCTCTAAAAAGTTCATTCCGATTTGATTTATGTAAATTATTTTATAAAAGTTTTAGGAGCATTTTCCGAGCTAAATATGAACAGTCATTGTTATTGATTAGCACTTGGGGTGGTACGCGAATTAGATCGGAAATATGTTAAACTTGACGTTTTTTTAGTTAGCTATACATAACGACCTTTGAATAAATTAATTTTGTTACTACATTTTCTTTTCGTTTTTCTTTTATTTTTGGCGAATTCCAGGGCACGTACGGTGCTTGTTGACTTGGTACGCGGGCTGTTCTTTAGTGCTGTTACTGTGTATATTACTAGATTACGGGGAAAACGTTAGTACATTTATTATTGCCTCTTTTGGCGACGGTTACCTGTTGGCGTAATAAGAACTTAAAAGTTGCCTAATTTGTTAATGCAAAACGCACAACATAAATAGTTCCGTGCAACCTTTTGTTATGTTAAATTTGCCGGAATCATTGTGAACTGCCGATGAAAAGGAACATTTCGCCCGCTTTTACAGCCCCCAAAAATGTAATGCTGGGTGTGTAAACAGTGTTTAAAATGGACCCGATTTCTATTGTTATACATGTTGTAGATCTCTTGTAGGTTTTTTCTCAGATTCCTTTGATACACCCCGTATGTTTGATCGATATTTTCGTTGCATCATGGACGTTATGTAAAAATTAGGAGTTTTTTTCGTGAAGACTAACGAACAATGTATTCTTTAACTGTGCTGAGTGAACTCGCCATGTTAGGCTTTCACAGCGCTTTCGTCCATCTATTCTAAGTTTGGAACGGTTTTATTATAGGTATTTTGGAAAAGTCGGCAGCTGTGTTAAAGAGTAGGAAAATGGTATTTTTACTTCGTTTTGGCAATGTTTCAATTTTATGAATGAAGACAATGTTTATTGCAAACTATCTATTTTCAATGTTACAACCTTGTGTCATTCTTAATGTATTTCAATATAACAAATTAATGGATTACTTGTCTTAGTTTGCCTTCGTAAAGTGCCCTGTATATGTATATAGTCTATGTTGATTTGATTATAAAGAAACTAGTATTACACAATTTAAATCATCTTACTGACACCAAAATTGAGTTCCGTACTGATTCACAATTATTACTAACTTTATCCAATCATCAATAAGTGGCCACCAAAAAAATGGCCAATCTTGCTCGGCAAAAAATGCATGCCTAGGCTTAAAGCAGCAACAACGCTACACATAAAAACTGATGAAGGTGGAAAAATACACCGAAACGTATTTTGATTGATAAATAGAGACAATAAATTACTGAAACCCAGGAATGAATTTGATTTGGAATTGAAACAGTCAGGAAAGTATATATAAATACTAAAATAAGCAGATCTATTGCGTTTCTTATTCTTTTAACCATGGGTGATATTTGATGGACTCCCTACTGCGGTCCCCATAATCATAGAACAGTTCTTGCCCTTTTTTGATATTGTGTCTTGCCAGCAGCACCAATCTATAAAAAAATCTGCTTTAGTCCGACTTATATGCTTGGTAGTGGGTTTGTATACCTTGGCAAGCCATCCACAAGTATGGATTTGGTGTATAGGTTACTGCTGGTTCTGGAATGGTTGATCAATCTCCCCAATCGTCCCGTTTCTTGTGTTGCGTCAATGCTAGAAGAAATTGATTAAACACATGCATTTCGCTGATTAATAAGGTGCTAACCAAAACGTCCGATCCTTGTATTTAAAATAATACATATAACAGCCAGTAGTTTCGTCTCGGGCATAGTGTTCTTCACGCTGATTCGCTTCCAGTAAACTAAGAAAATCGCCACTGTATTCCACTACGAACGAGTCCTTTTCGAAGTTCCTAGTTGCGAAGACACTTCTTCCCTTGTTTTCAGTCAGTCGGCACTGAAAAGAAAAACTCTTAGAATCGTTTGGTCATTGCTAAGTATCTTTATGTACCCACCTCTAGGCCGTCTTCAGTCTCGTTTCTCAAATAGTTTTCAAGCGACTTTTGCTTTTCCCTTAAAACCTGCATTTTTGTCTTTCTATTAGACTTCCTTAGTGAAAAATATTCTGTTAGCTTGCGGCTAGGCCTATATTCTTCATTTCCTCGACTTTCTTTCGGAGCTGAAAATTAAATTTTGGATACAATATGGATAATACTCATTTACTGCTGCAGCTGATCGCAGCACGAGATCTTTGAGTATTAAAGCATGTTTTAACAAAACTACCCCAAAATAATCTAGAATGAATAAATCGGAGATTTGGATGTTCTGGGATAGATTTTAGTTGCGTGTATAAGATTTACATGCACATGTATTTCTTAATTACCTTTGACCATGTTGCAGTGATGATTAAGGCCGCTTGACTTCTTTCACTGAAAAATGCTGATCTGTTTGTACAACTGCAGTGTTTTTTACAATTTAAAGACAAAAAGCTGTATAAAGAAGCAGAGTTTTATTGAAGAAAATCCGAACTTCCTCACAATGCTATGGTTTGTTTACAACTAATTTCACTAAACATGGCTGGGCGACGTTGTCGGTTAATTACAGTTTAAGCATATTTTAAGTACATTTTAATTGGCAGTGGCACGCGGGTTATGATTGGTTCAATTACAGTGTTAATAAGCGGGTTATTTAAACTGAGCCTTAGTTAGAATACAAGTCGCCTAATATTGAGATTTAATGAGGAGAAACATCTCTTCCACAATTTTATTATTTATTAAAAAAATAGTTCCAAATTAAAATTGAATTTTTTTAGATTTTAATAGAACTGTATTTTGTGTAGTTTATTTTATGTTTTTTTCAGACGCCGTTAAATACTAGACATTTATAATATTATTCCTTGTTCCCGACGGTTACACATCTCCGATCTTTGCGGGTGGTAACAAAATGCATATTCTGACCTTCTTACGTCGAAAGCACAGATCACAGAGCAACCTCTGTGATCTGTGGCCGAAATGACGAAGATATCGTCGGTTAATCGTTGAGCGTTGACGATTTCTTCCTTATTATTAACCCAAACAATTTATAAATGCACATTAGTGACCTTCTTACGTCAAAAGGAACCGACTGAGCTCAAAAAACATGCTGTGATATTTTGATTTTTGTCCAAAATGTTCTCAAAATGTCTTAAATTGTACATCATTTCCATTTCCCGGACGCGAAGAATGCATCGAACTGATTAAAAAGCATGCGAGAAGTTTCAGATGGAATGCACTCTTTCCTTGGTCACCCTGTGCTGTTGTTTTCCAATATACCGGGTCTCAATTTGAAAACTCCCCGCTCTTAATGTCCCGCCAACGATTTAAGTCGCAAAAATCATCAATATTTCCTTTACAATCGCTAAGTTTCTAGTTTTCAAGTCACATTTTCGGGTCCTTCAATCCTTTGACACGCAATTCCAACAAATAAGACACTTTTTCCAAAACGAATGTGTTAAAACCGGTCAATTTAAAACTTCAATTGCAATAAATACTGCTTTACTGACAACTGATTTCAAAGTTGATGTGTTCATAATCACTCGTTGTCATGACAAATGTCTTGTATTCAAAGAGTCGACAAGCGATTGGTCGGTCAGGTTTATGTGTATCTTGGAAAACACGTCACCAGGGACGGTTTCTTGGCAACGAAGGTTGTTGAATTCTTCGAATGGCGCAAAGTGCTGATTTTATGTGGAAAATATTCCTTGTGGAAGAAAAGAATTATTGACGAATGGGTGTGAGTGAAATATTGATTTTTGTCCGAAAATTTTCCAAGGGTGGGGTCGATTTTTTGAAAAAATTTAAATTTTGTGGGTGCCGCAACAAACGTTACCCAAACTGCAACAGTTTTGAAGAAATGCAATAACAATAAATACATTTTAATTTCGTTTTTTGTGCGATGTGGAAGATGCAAATGCTTTGGTTT